GACACGCATTCTCGTACTACTGCTCCTGCTCCTGCTGCTGCTGCTGCCACTTAGGTCGTCTTACTAGCTAGTTATGCCCCACGCATGTTTCTCAGACATAATATGCCGCCTGGTTATCTTGGCTGCGTGCCGCATTAGCTTGGACACGCACAGAAATAAGAGGCATGCTATAATATTTTTGTTTAACGATTGTTTTGTGTGCTTGCGCCCGTTAACGGGGGAATAATTAGCCGTTAGCCCTTTGTTGTTACCGTTACATCTACTGTTGTGTAATGGGCCGCCCCAAAATGGCAGCGCGCAGAGAAAGCAAGAATTCCCATTTTAAAGGATGGCGTGTGCATGTCTAATGTGCCACAACTTCTTGGGACGGAATTACCCCAAAACAATCATACTAAATAACTATAATTTTTAACGCTTGCCAAGGCTGGGAAAACAACAAAAGCCACAAGGCAAAAATCAAATCCAATTGCGACCAAGTACAACCATTCTTTTTGTGTGTTTGTGTTTTTCTTGCAGATTACGTGGCGCATACGCAATGGCGTCTTTTCTTTTTTTTTTCGTTTTGTTTTTTTTTTTTTGCGGAAACTGTGAATTGTGTATGGCACGGATTTTGGGCAATTTGGTTCGCATCTCCTTTCTTTTTTAATTTCTGGAAAAGGTTTTTATTATGGCGCGCGCACACACACACAGAGCCGGGGTGAATAGCAACTATTACGCTTTGCTTTTTATATGAATTACAATAATAAAAACCAAAAAGCAAACAAAGCAGCCGCAGTCGCATTCGCATTCGCCGTTTGATGGGGGCAACGCATGAGGTGAGGAGAAATAAAATCATAAAAATTACAAAAGGTACGAGACAGCCAAGAAAAACGACAACACACGAAAAATGCGTTCAAGAAAAATCGCCGTAATAAAGCCAGGCGTCTGGGGCTCTGTGCGAGATGCTCTGCTGCAAATAAAACAATTTGAGTGGAAATAAAAAATAAAACAAAGTACAGCAAGGTTGAAGCAGCAGGAGCAGCGGCAGTAGCAACAATAACAGCAGCAGCAGCTGAAGGTAACTGGAAATGAGCGCTTAACGCAACACCCCGAAATGTAACTGAAACGCAATCCTTTGTAAGTATAAACAACGCAGCGCAGTGCCAGACAGACAAATGGACAGAAGGACAGAGAGACAAACACTGGCAAGGCAAACAATGGCTACGACGTAGTCCTCATCGCATCGTCCTCGTCATTCTTGCCTCATCGTCTTAATACCAAAGTAGAGCGCAACTTAAATTATTAATAACAAGCATAAGAAAAATAAATGTACGCGAATGAACCAAGAAGACAAAAGGATAAGGCAAAGGAGCAGCTGAGGCTGCCAACGGCACTTTGCTGCGCTGCGCTGCGCTGCGTAACCCGGAAGCATTGGCCGGTCAAAGCGCTCTACAGTTGAAGTTAAGGTTTATGCCCTGGACAGTCGTTGCAATGGTGACGGGGCATGTAATACAGGTACAATCACCTGCTGCCCGAGTGGTAGCAGAACAAAAAGACAATCAAGCGGAAGTTCTCAAACAGCAAAAGCTCACTGACGGCTTGTCGGACTTAAGATTTCAGAAGTCAAAGTAAGAGTATCAATATACCAAATTGTATTGCAATATCTAATGAAAGCCAACTTAGGCGTGCAAAATGACAATCGATTTCACTACCGGTAAGATGTATCACATTTGCATGTGCGCTTAAGTTGCCACGATAGGCTATTGATCGATATCGATATCGATGCGAGCACAGAAAAATGCAAGACATAATTTTCGGAGCATTAAAGAAAATAACAAAAATTAATTTGTAATTTAATCTTTATTAAGATATATGGTATGTCTATATATATGTAAAACTGTTTGTCCTGACTGATTGACTGAAAGATTGGTGATCGCTGGTGATCACCGTAGTTACCCTATGTGATGTTTCGTGAAATTCCACCCGCATCTGAAGAATCCAAGCTTCCTCACTGAAAAATGCGATTCAAAGATCTTTTGCTTCAAACTTATGTTCAAAGCTCTACATAAGAACTTAATGAATAGGTGTTTCATCGATATGGGATATTTCACCCGCAACAGTGATAAATTGGCGGAAAACGTTTGTATGAAAGTTTTTCGTTTACCGTCCGATCGGTTTTAAACTCACTTCAAAGATCTTTGAGAGAATTTATTTTAGGAATGCACGTGGTTTACACGCTAGAATATATATACATATGGGGGATTTGAGCCCGTTAACTCATCTAAGTTCAAAGTATTTGGTCTCCTTGACACATCATTTACCGAGAACGCTTTACTCCAATGATACTTTACACTAAGAAAAAAAATTGAATTTAACGATTCCTCCCAGTGAATTTCATTAAAAGCCCTTTCCAAAACATCCGATTTAAAACAAAAAAGGTAGCTGGAGAAACGCTTTTTCTATAACTACCCCAACTCTCAAACCTCCCCCGAGCACTAAAATGTTCCTAAAGATTTCGTTCTTTTCATTGTCTTATTTTTGTTATTAAATATAATTTAGCCGACACACCTTTACCATCATTTTTTTTTTTTTATGAGGCAGGTAGATGCCACTGGCAAAATCGCTTGCACCACCCAGACACCCAACTACCCTAACCGCCAAGTCCAAGTCAAATTCCCTTCCTGATGATTTATGCCGCGCGGTCAAGTGTAAGTTCCCGTTGGTTCCTCGGGGCAGGAAATTGGGTTTAACAGCCGCAGCTGGTAGCTCGTTAAATTTGACCCCGCGTAGGCAACTCTGGCTGTTGTTGTTGTCTGACGTTTTATTAAATAATTTTTGCCTACGTTTTTTTTTATGAGCTGGCAACTGGCCTGTTATCACCAAGCGTCAGACAGGCGCCGTAACCGGCCAGGACTACGCTGTGTGCTGTGATTTGCCTTAATTAGTCGTGGCATATCCGAGCAGGCCCATCAACCAGTTAATTTTGCCTGATAATTAGCCGTTCGTCTCGGTTTGAGCGGTTTCATTGTATGCGAGCAGGAATTAAAGAAAATTCAAATAGAATTATGAGCATTTGAACTTATTTGAAATCGGATACGATGAATGTTTGCGAGTGCAAATGCTTTGCTATTTACGCTTATTATATTGTCCATTTACAACCAAAGCGCATTGTAATAATTATGCATTAATTGATTTGTATACACAGTAAATAGGAGTTTTCAGATTTTTTAAATCTTATACTCGTTTATATGCAACCAATATAAAGTTTATTTCAGATTCTCGAAACCAGGCTATCGCTTTATACAAATACCATTTATTTAGCTAAACAAGTTTTTTTCTTTTTATACATTCGTCAATCTTCAAAAACGGATGGTCTACTTTTTCGGGCAACAAGCACAGGTGTTATTAAAACAAGATTTATTCCTGTGCACATTTGAGGATGTAAATTATTGGCTGTTACACTTATTTGGCACTCGAAACAGCATTTAATATTAAATCTTCTGTTTGCTTGTAACTACTGGCAACACATGTTGCGTCGAATGATTCTAGGAAATAATTAAAACGTATAAATTGATTGAATGCATTTAAGCATAATTTGTCCTTTATGAGGAAAACTACACAATTTCACAGAACACAAACAAGCGCAGGTCCTGAGAACAATACACACACACGAACAGCATTTATCTTTCATCTGAACTGTCGGACGCCGCTGTGATTTTGTTGGTATGCTTTCGTTTGGTTTTCGGCAAAAATTTCATTTACCATGAAAGCAAAATGTCGTACTGCCTTTGTGACATCAACGACACAGCTGCCGTGCCCCAAGGATAAGAATGAAGCGCTGTTCATGCATTTCTGGTCAAGCAAAATGAGAGAATACTAGGAATTCATTTATTAAGCGCTACACTGGCCAAAACAGACAAAGCTTTAAGCAGCAGCTGCTGACAAGCCTTCTAGGCGAGATGAAAAATAAATTTTTAAGTAAAACAAATTAAAAACGCATCTATATATTGGTTTCAGCGTTTTCTGCGAGATTACAAAAATTTGCTTTTAAGGATCTGCACGAGTCTTTACAATCGCACATATATATATACATATATATACACACACACAAACACACACCGCGCTAACGAGCGTCCATTATGCAAACAATAAGCGCCGTTTCCTTCAGATAAAAGCAAAACAGACAGAGCAACGACAATAAAAAAGAGGAAAAACTGCCAAAAATATTGTATGCATGTACATTTGTATATATTGCGCATACGCCACGTTTCGCCACGCAGTGGCTTTCATTCAAAAATAGATTTATGTGTGGCATTTAAACGAAAGGACAAACAAAATCAAGAAATATGCTGCAGCATTTATCAAACATGACGCGTCCACAACAATGTTAACCCCTAGCCCCAGTCCGCCTTTAGCACAGGTTTGACATCATTATTCCTTAGCGACAACAACAACGAGAATATGCGGGCACTGCATTTTGGTATCATTAAAATGTGATCACTGCGCATTAAAGTCGTAGTCAAATGAGGATGTGTGTGTGTGTGTGTGTGTGTGTGTGTGAATGCGGATGAGGAACGTCACCCGTCACCATCTTGGCAAGCAACAATTTGATTTAGTAGCGCCCATTATATTCAGTTCCCGTTGTCTATCTGGGTGAATATTTATATATATATATATACATATAGATGTATATATAAATATCTCTGTGCCTGTGTCTGTGAGTGTGCTTGCAATAATGTCAACAATGAGGCAACCCCACTCGACATGCTGTCATATCCTGTCTGTGGTGCTTGTGGTACGGGTGGTGTTTGGTGTTGGCGCTTGGGCTTGTGTGCCAGTTTAGCGGCAACATTTACATATAACATTTTGCCCCACTTGTTGACTTTTTTGCCACGGAGGTCGCGATTTGCATGATATTCGCATTTATACGCTTAATTTACTATTTCATAATGGGGCAACGAGTGCCCTCGTGTGCGCTCGTAGCATCATTAGGATTATTTAGAGAGCTTAGTAGAACTCACCTTAACTCCAATGTGAACCGGTGTGAATTCAGTTTTATGTATTGAAGGTATCGGTATCGGTAATGGCATAGGTAGGGGGCAGGACATCATGGTCGCTACCTGTGAATAGAAATGATATGCAAAGAGAAAGACATGTTAGTTAATTGGTTGACTTGAGTAAATGGAGTGTAAAATAATGTAGGTGAGATCAATTGGGCGGGAGCTGGGAAGCACTACGTTGCATCGAGATTCACGCGTAAAAAGCTTTCTATTTATTTCAAGGCTTATAGACTTTAGAGTGTTGTTAAGGCTAGAATAACTGTATATTTATTATTGAGTGATCTTACTTTTCAAAAAGGAGAATAGATCTTGCGATAATAGAACTAAAGTAATCCTGGTAACAGTAATTGTTTAAATTTTTAATGTTGACAGTAACACAGGCTATCCGTCTGTCACTACTGACATTTAATATTTCCTGAGGTTTTTATAATCGACTTTCATAATCAAAGTAAATTGTAGATGGTACGAAATTTTATGGAAGACTGCGCAGTCTGGTTTTCCCCCTCAGCACTTAACCCTATCGAAGAAATCTACTAAATCGGCGCGAACCATGATTTCTGTACGTTAAATTTCTTGAAACTTGCAACTCTATCAAATATCGAAGCTATCGATAAAAAACCAAGGTTTCAAAAAGTATTGGAACCGAACCAGTTCACACTCAATATTCATATTTAGTTTTTAAATGAACCAAACCCTAAACTGAACCGAAACAAAACTCGAACCAAACTATATTTTCTTAAGGGAAATTTAAGACCAGCGCCAAGACCTGATTTTCCGAGAAAACCCAGAAAGTTGGTTTGAATTAGATTTGGTTTGCAGCCCTGATTCAAACGGCTATCAATAATTGTACAGTAACTCAAAAAATTACTTATTATTTTCTATCCATTGGAAATCCCCAATTAAATGACAATACAAGGTGCCACAAATTATTGTCCTTGCATTATTAGTATAGTCGTTAATATTTTTTGCCGCTAAACTTTGGATTAAAAGCAGAAACCCTTTAAAACTTATATAAACATATATAAGGAGACTTTTACGATAGCCATTGCTTAACATGGCATTTGCGTTGTTCGGGCCAAGCAGCTGGTCAGGAAACTGTGCTCGGCAAACACGGCCATCAAATAGCTGACAGCTTTTAGCACGCTGCCCCACATCAACTGTTTCCAGTCGCTGCTGCCCCTGTCTCTGGCTCAGGCTTTAGCCATTGCACACTTTCTCTTTCCCTTGTGACTGCCACAATGAATACGACTTGTCCAACAGTTTGCCAATTTCGTTGGCATTGCAATTTTTCGCCTTTTCAATTTCACGCGTTTTAATAGCAGCAGCAACAACAGAAGCAGCGTCAGCGGCAGGTCCTGCCCGGCAGCATCCAGGCAGCACAAATCACAGCCGCATTCCCATTGCGTGCACATGCATTGCCTGCACTTTTGCCCAACATTTTATTTGGCATCATCATCAACATTATCATCATCGTCGTCAGCGTCAGCGTCATCATCATTGTCATTTCCGCTTTTGCGTAACGACGTCAACGTTTTTGATGGCTTCATTTCGTTGCGCTGCGTTTCGTTTTCGGGGCAGCGTGCGGCAAGTAAATCATAACTGCAGCAACCCTCCATCTTTCTCTCTTTTCCACCAATAAAAACTTTTCGACTTTGTCAGAATACGAGCAGCGCTTTTGAGACCAACTACAAAGTAAAAACGCAACGCAACGCAACGCGAATGTTGAAATTAAAATTGCATGACAAAGTGGCAAATGCTGTCAAAACTTTGCTTTACCAGTGGCAACAACAACAGCAACACCAACAACCATCTGGACGGCGACTTTGCCACGCGCCAGGAGAAGACACGAAAGAGAAGCAGCAAGTCGCATTGCATTCCTGCAATTACAACATTTCAATTTCCGGCCTTGATTTTGGTTTCAGTTTTCATTTCGATGCTTCATTTGTTCTTCAAGCAATTTGTGAGTAATTATGGATTGGATTTTGAAAAACAAAATTTCTAATCACATTACCGCCAAGGTGGTCTCTGCTCTATTTTGACAGCGCAACAAAGGGGCACTCATCAAAGAGTATCGATTACACGGCAACATCTCGTCACTTAGTCGCTCAGCGCAGTTGTTGGCTGGCTGACTGTCTGTCAGCTGGCTGTCAGTTTGTTTACGCAGACATTTCAAGTTGTGAGCGCAAATTGCTTTAAGTGCTACAAAAGTGTCGCTTGCACGCGCTGCGCGGCACAACTAATTAATAGAATTCTGAAACTTAAGCGACTAAAAGTGGCAGCAGTTTCATCGTCATCATCATTATCATCGTGAACATCATCATCCTATCGAAAATTGTGAGTGGCAAAGTGCGGCCAGGCATGACCGCTTGCATTTTAATGACGACAACAAACGGAAATTGACGTTGCTTGACTTTCCAACAATGTTGCTCGTGTGTGTGTGTACTTTTATGGAGACACGCGACACAGCAGCAGCAATGAGACCGTGCAACAACAGCAACAACTGGCACACATGTGGCAACCATATGAATACATGGAGAAGTACGATTGCTGCAAGTACATTTGCAGTTACAACTGTTGAACAACGAGCAACGGCAATGACATTGATGCATGACCCGGACCGACCCAGAGCCAGGCCAGGCGGGCCACCCACGCGTTAATTTGTCCAGCTTTTGTGGCTGCTACGTTTGGCATTTAAGCAGCGTAATAAATGCCAGTCAATAAGAGCGAGACGCGTGCAACACTCAGCAACGGACTCGGCTTGTGCTGCAATTTGCTTTGGGGCCTCTGCCGGGCCCATCGCATCCCAAATGCGATCCATACCATGATTAATGTGCTGTTAACTTGCATGCATCATGCTGCATTCAGCATGCAACATGGGACATGCAGCATGCAGCATATAGCCCAAAGCTAAGTAGCGGCCTGTCACGGTGTTGTCATTGCAACAAGTTCATGGCATTTGCCGTTGCATTTTCCGCTCGGCTGACTATGCGCACCGCACAGCTTTAGGGCAATGCCAACATTAACTACAACAACAACAAATGCCCCCGACAACATTAACAACAGCTGTGGCAGCCGCGCACCAAATGAAGCGAACATTTTTGCACACGTAAATTGGCAATTGGGTATGGGTGAGCGGGGTGAAGGCGGTCTCAACGCTTCGCCACTGGCACTGATATTGTACACAATGCCGCACACGTTAATGAACAGGTGGATTGCCTGGCCACAGGGCGTGGTCTGCAACTACAGCTTACTCAGGTACTAAAGAGCGCTTAACTCAACTCAATAGTAAATTATGCTAATGAAAACTTTAAATTTTCTTGCCACCAATTAAGTCTTTACTAATATCACAAACATTGAATTTATTATTAGAATATTAAATAAGTTTGGTAACTATAAAAACTGGAGACTTGAAATTATGAAAGTAGCATATTTTGGAACTTTTAAAAACATGAAACAAATTTACGATGTAGTATCTCGTATAGTATCAGAGATCTAGAATATTTCAGACTTTGGATATCTCATCCCCTGGGACAACGGGAAGAAATTCGAATAACCTTTGGTACTTTCGTATTTATACTCGTTTGGAAGGCATATAATATAGTCCGACCCGCCCGCTTCCTGTTTCCTATTGTTGCCTGCAAGACGATAGCTTTAATACTTAGAGATTAGTTCGTAGATAGACGGACATGACTATATCAACTGATGCTGATCTAGAAGATATTTACTTTATGGGCTTACAAGAGCAGCAAGTCATTTTATATATATCATATCAGTAAAATGCAGCAATATTTGAAATTAATTTTTACTAATTTGCAGCGAAGTTCACAAAATGACAAGTTAAGCAGAATCGAACTATTATTTATAATATATAATTGCAATGTTTAATAGATGGAACCGTTCAAGAATTCAAATATATAAGTCAGGAGGAGAGAGGACTTCTATTGCAACAGAATTGATTTAATCGAGAGGTATTAAAAATAATATAATTTTTAACACTTTTGGAATTAACAAAAAACAAAGTGGTCTTTAAGAGACTTAACATTCAAAATATGTATGTATAGTTAAAATCAAGCAACTCGTCCCAAACATATTTAAATATGAGCGAAATAAGTGCAATAAAGGTTACCTGCAAAATGCACATATATGTATTTAAGATAAAAGCCACAGATTTAAATAGTCAATACCATAAATCCAGCTCATGCACGGCACTGGCGAAAGCAACTCAAGGGCTTTGACGCACAGCATCAATCGAAGCCCCAGGGCAAGGCGCATTAAAAAGCTAAAATCGTTGAGATTTGTGACACTTAGCAGCAGCAGCAACAGCAGCAACAGTTGCAGCAGCAGCATCAGCAACGGCAACAACGGACAAATGTAACTCTAGAATTGTAAACTGAATTGTGCAGATTTGGCATGAGGAGTAAAGTGAAAGAAAGAAGTGAAAGTAAATAAGCGGATGAAGAGCAAAAATGAGTGAGAGAGTGAGAAGCGGCACTTTATGCAAAGAATGGCACCCATATTTCTCACAAATCCCCACAACCGTGCGCTCGCTCTAGCTTAATGCGCTGGGAAAGCACGGCAAGAAGTTGCCGAGCGCAACTTGTTGCCGGGTCGGTACAGTGAAAGGGAATTGTAAGGCGAACAAAATTGAAAAGCAAAATGCAGCATTTGCATAAATTCAGTGCACGGTGTTGGAGTTTGTGTTGATGCTGGCATTGGTGTTGGTGTTTGTCGGTGCTGATGCTGGCTATTGAACGGAAGCACCCAGATAATAATGATAAGAGGCAGGCGAAGAGCGAGCAAAATAATAGCATGCTTTTGTGCGCCATGCATTTGTGATGCCGACCGATATGTAGTCGGGCGTCGCCGTTGCCGTCTTGGCAAATGCCCGGCTTAGCGTGGCGCAGGCAACGCCTAAAACTATGCAAAAGACGCGCGCGCACCAGCAAATGTGTTGAAAATCCCATTCTGTTAAGGATTTACAAACCGCCAACGCAAGCGCCAAAGCAGCCAAGGCTTTTGTTGGCTCAGCGACTAAAGTGCTGCATGTGTGCGAAGATATG